AAGACATCTAAAATAAAGAAACAAAAGTTTTATTAGATAAAGAGTCCTTAATAAGTCACCCAAATAAAATATTAAGGCTAGGACCCTACAACCTATTTATAACTGGAAGAGGGATGTCGTAATCCAAGTTATAAAATAGTTGAAGGTAGGTAAATGACGATTTACCAATTTCGACCATGAAAAACGAAAAAGATTATTATGTTTTAATTGCATTTGAAACTCCTAGATCTTTTGAGATACATTGAACATTCAATGGCATGTTTGAATCTCGATTGTGCCCTCCCAAGTTTGTGACTGAGATGCCGAGGATCACAAACAAGGTGTGAATAACCATGCAAATTAACTTGGTACCCTCAACTTTATCACCTAATCAATGTGTCGGTTAACCACACGCGCTCCACCGATCTATGATAAAATTAAGTTACCCTTTTCCACTCTTACTAGTCCTTATTAGTGTGTTAGTTAACCACTTGCGCTCCACTAATGACTTGGTAAGGTACAAAGTTAAATTTCATGGGTTAGTACCTATTTCACATTTTCCTAAAGTAACTAAGATTGGGAATTAATAAAGATTTAGTTACTTTATAATTTCATTATACTTATAATGAGGATTAAGGTCCTATCCTACCCGTTCGGCTAACAACCCTCCACCAGTCAAGGAAGCGGTAGGTGAGAATGGACACCCATTAAACTGCCACTTTATAGGCAGTAACCTTATACCCCCCCCTTATAGACCGGCTTCGTGAATGAGGCCTACTAACGGTAAGACTGACTTATTCTTATACAGATCTATATAATTAAACTTTATTATAATAATAGTATAAGGGTTGAATTTTAGTTTAAAATTCTATGGTTTATTTTGGAATTAAAGTATTAATGAGTGAGTCTTTACAAATTCCAAAACTTGAGGGCAAGTTTTCAAACTCTTCAGAACTCTACAACTTCATAATTTATGAGTTAATGGCCAATAAAATGAAGACTCTTCATTTTATGTAACCTATGAGTTCTTTAAATTGTTTTAATAAGAATGACTTTTGGTAATCCATAACTTCAGGAAAAATTATGGACTCCATTAAAAAATAAAGATCATGGATTTAACTAATCATAATAAACAAATAAACAAGCATGCGTGATCATATTCAAACTCATAGTGCAAGACAATTCATATCATCAAATTCAAGACATTTAGCATAATCATATTACCACTAATCTTGAAAGTATCACAATCACCTTGTAATTAGATTAGGATAATCATTACCATATCATAAAAAAGACAGTTTAAATGATTAAAAACAGTTATAGGTAATGATCCTAACCCAATTCTGTCCAAAAAACTCGAACAACATACAATCTGGACAACAAACTCATCGAGTTCCTTGAGGAACTCGTCGAGTTCATGCCCAAAGTCATGAACTCGTCAAGTTTTTTGCATAAAATCTTTGAGTTCTATGGTTTGTGCAGTTTTTAGCTTTGCAAAATCACATAAACACCAATATAACTGAAAACAAGCCTAGGCTTTGATACCACTGAAGGGTTTTGAGCATCCTAACAACCTTAAGGTGCACATACAACCCTAGAAGCTTTGCAACTATGTTTTCTCTATTATACATGCAAAATGATTTCGAAAGCCTTATCATATCTAGCATGAAATCCTAGGTACAAATGAAAAAAAAATTGTAGATAGATTACATACCTTTTCCTTGTAGTGAGCAGCTTGGAGTTTATGATCCTAGCACCAATAGTGTGGATGGCCTCAAGTGGTGTCACAATCACCAAAAAAGTGGAAGCTCTTGAGAGAATAAGAACACTATATGAAATCGGGCCACACTCTTTATGCTCACACACTAGTCCATTTCAAGTGCTAAAGACCCCTTTATATAGTAGGAGGATTAGGGCTACATGCATGCAAACCCTAATACCCATACCTTTTCATTTACATAGGATCCATGGGTTAAAAGCTCCATGGACTATCCATGGACTTCATATACTCTTAGCCCGTCCTAAATAAATCTTAGCCCAATCCATAATATAATATATATATATAGATATTATATATATATATTTATATATTAATATATATATATAATGTATATATAAGAGTCCATATTTAATTAGCCTCATTTGATCACTAAATTAATTCCAAATTAATTCTTGATCAATAGTAATTAAATAATATGATTTCATATTAATATATTATAACTTATAATATATTAATATACCATAAACATCTTATTCTCAAAAGTATATCCATACAAATTGTTCGGTGAAGTGCAACCCAAATGGACCATGCCGGGTCGGGTCAAGTACATACCAAATATAGTTACGGACTTACACACCTTATCCAACACTATGATCATCTCAAGCATCCTCAAATTTCGACCAAAAATGACCTTAACAGTCAAATTTTGATTCAATTTGGTAAAAATTTTGCCAAGCTAAATGGGCTGAAAGATTTTTTTAAGGAGAAGGGGAAGCCTTCTTCCTCAAAAGGGGGAAAAGATCAACCAATCCAAGTTGATGAAAGTTCAAGCTCCTCTTCGGAATCAAATAGACCGAGGTCTTCTCCTCACAAGATTCCAACTCCTCTTCCGTCTCTAAAATATAAAACTCCTCTGCAGTCTCCCCCAAGGTCTCCTAATAATAACAAAACTCGGACTCCTCCAACCTCTCCAAAGAAGCCCTCAACCATCAAAGAAACAGATCTGGTGCCTTCCATGTCTAATGACAATTCCATCGACTCCCCCAAGACAAGACAAAAGAAGGTAGACTAGAGGTCAGCCAAGCTAGTCGAATACATATGTTAAACCCATGATTCGATATGAGAATCGACTAATCTCTAATCAACTCTTGGGTAAACCCAATGCGAAGACTATTGGACATAGATTATGTTCCTCACATCACTTACTCTAAACCTACTGGAGCATACTGGTACATTCCACTCTCTCCCAACGCTAAATACTTCCTAGTATTTAAGCCATTTGACTAGGATATCCCAAATGAGCAAAGAATACCCATGGAGTGCGAAACATTAAGCTTGTTTCACAACAATTATGGGAAATCAATAGAGGAAATCTGGTCATGTGACATACCCGATGCTGTTACAACATTCAAACGCATGTCTTTCAAAGGAGAAACACATTATCAATACACTCCTCCATGCTTTGGTAAAGAATACCAACGAACTCAAGCAAAATTCATCTACATGAATCCTAAAGAAAATTTTCTGATTGCAAGGTCTTCCAACTCAAAGCTCAAAATATACCACAAGATGGAAGATACACAGACTTCCTCAAACCCTTTTATGTGAATTAAAAAATTGATGTTGAGATCCATTCAGTCCTTGTACAGAAAATGGATTTCCCTCCATTTGAACACCTTGAATACATTGTCGAAGGGAAACTTCACCAAACTTGGCATTGTGTTCAGGCTTTCCATAGATAGTGAAAAGTTCTTCCTGCCAGCCACTACTTTTCATTAATGCTATCCTAAATAGTTGGAAGGAACTCTTTCAATGGCTCAAAAGTCCAAGTACACCACTAAAGAGGTAAATTTTGAAATCTCCAAAAGACTCAAAAGGATTGTTGAATTTAGGAAGTTCTGGTGGCTCATTATTAAGTTTCTCAAACTTAACAAGTGAAAGTGATAGTTGGGAGGTCAATTAGGGGGGAATTATTGAAACATGAAAGTAACCCTCGACAGCTATAAAGTGTGTTGAAGTACCGAAGACCTGTTTTGATTATTGCGGTTGAACTTTTGTTTGAGGATCAGATGTGAAGACTTTGAAGATCAACGCTGAAGACTTGGAATACCGGAGTAAACAACAAAGAAAAGCATGGTTTGTCTTTTGTATGCCAAGTGTCAGAAAAGTAATGTTCACATTTTATGACATTGTGAGTTAGATGAGTTCTATCAGTCCAAGCATGGAAAGCATGGCCGCCTGACTTAGAAATATTTGATTGTTTATCATGTACTTGGTTTTTCTATAAATCGATGATCATGTTGATCGATCTATATGCACCACTTCCCAGAAATTCATTGTATTACTCTTTATTGAATACAAGTCTTCATTATCTTGATTATCTCTTGATTATGTTGTTCATCATTTACTAACTTGTGTTTGAAACGCAAACCATGTTACAATTCAACTAAGTATTATTACTTGTTTAACTTTTCGTTGCTCAGACTTTGATTTTTATGGACCTTATTCATTTATCACTCTTCATTGGTCAAAATTTTCTTTTAATGGTCCTTCTAATGTAGCTAAAAGGGGTGCAAAAGAAACTAGAATAACATTGATAACATCAACATTTGGAATAGTAGACTATGGCCTTGGACTTGCTTTTGTCAAATGAAGTGTATCCCTAAACTTTTTCTTTGTCATCGGTTCAAGAGAACTTTGACTTTGAGATGGATTATTAGAGCCTTCAGAATCTTGATAAATCCAAAGCTACATCTTGGACCAGAAAACTTCTCAACCTTTCCTTGTTCTTTTTCCTTTTTCAATGATTTTGTCTCATTTGAATCCTTCCATTCTATATCACTACTAGAAAACATCCCTTTAATGAAGCGCAAACAATGAAACGCGCTGATAGAGGACACATATTTATGCGTGCCCTAAAAAATAATGTCAGTTTTGCAAAATTTGAAGGATAGAGGACGCGCATTTGTGGGCGCCCTAAAATGAGTGTCCAACAAAATGAAATTAAAAACACGGAGAGTACCTATCCTAAAAAGCGTGTCGTCTTACCCTGTCGCTTTATAATTTTAGTCTGAGTGCGCGTTTTCGTTTTTTAATAGCAGGGGGAAATGAAATCTAAAAATTAAAAACCCCGCCTGTTCCGTCTCCTCCTTCCACAGGAACGCTCACCTCGATCAGACTCACCACCACCATCTCTCTCTCTCTCTCTCTCTCTCTCCTCTCTCCTCGCTCTCATCTCTCTCTCTCTCCTCTCTCTCTCCTCTCTCTCTCTCTCTCTCTCTCTCCATGGTACCGACCACCACTATCTTGTATATGGGGTAATAACCGGGGCCAAGAAGAAAAGGAAAGGGCGGTTTCTTGGCTGACAAGCCTCCGCAAAGTGATTCCTCTCAATCTTCATCCTCTCCATACTGTTTCTCCCCATTCTTGCTTCTAATGAATCAAATATCACCGAATAATAATGTAAAGATTCAAGAAATCTCCCGAGAAAAAACGGCCAGTTGTGGTTCGTGTCTTGCTCCGCCACCGTTAGCAGCGTCGGCCCTAACTTCTTGATCGCCTGAAGTATCGTTTACAGGTAAACTCTTCTCTCCTTCACATACGTATGCAAATGGAGTATGTTGTTTACAAACAACGATTCACCTTCTTTTATTCCTAGATTTTCTCTCGTTAGCATCGCCGGAGTGGCTGGCCCTGGAATCAGTCGGAACTGTACTTCAATTCTGACGGAGTGGCCCGGTTTATTACATTCCATATACATTTCCTTTCCTTCGACTCTAACCCTAGTTCGTTCTCCCCCCCCCCCTTCCTTCACAAACACACATGGATTATGAGTTCCTTATATGTTCCTATGGGGTTCACAAAGCGTGGTTTATACATCTAGGGTTTCTGAATTTCGAGTATTATGCACACAAATGTCAGAACAAATATGGTCTGATTGCTCCATCGTTGTACGTCGCGGCTTCTTGATGGAGAGAAATATTGGCTCCTTCTTCATCACTAATTAGCTATTGATATCTGGTAAGTTTAGAGACCCAACTGCTCAATGACAAACACATGAACATTGTTCTGCTTCTTTTTTCGTTTCTTTTTAATTTTATTTAATTTGATTTAGAATTCTTGAATCTATACCCATTATTCGCCTAATTACTGCTAGTTCTCAAAGGCATGTTTAACTGCCTAAGTCATCAACGAACAGGGGATGCCCAAACGACTGAACCATGGCCTGTAAATGAAACGAAAACTGGTAATCTTGATAAGCTATAAGTTTTCCAATCCGTTATACACACACACACACTTATTTCTATTTATTTCCTTCTTTTCTTTCTTTTCTTTTGATTTCACGTACAGGGGCTGTAGGAAACATAATCTTTTTTTCTTTTTCTTTTTGTCCTTTCTATATGATTTAAGGTTATGTTACAAATGCTTCAACAAATGAGAATGGATTTATCAAATAATATGATACAAAATAAAGAACTGTATTTATCGTGTAATCATATTTTCCATTCCAATGGCATTTCAGGATTTAATAAACCCCACTGTCAGCTTTGTCCCATTTGTATCAAATCTATTCAGCCATTTCACAACAGTATATTGAGCTATATGAATAGATTTGGTTGTATGAATATCATATATCTGTTTTTTCAACCAACCAAGTACAACTAGATTTGTTTGGAAAAAAGTTTTTAGTGTAATTCGTTTCTCTGGTGCAGAGACATTGGATGAGGATTATAGGTGGTGGGGTACACATATCATGTTCATGTCTCATTTTTTGTAGCAATGTTTCAACGATTAGCATCTCCTCTTTTAGATGGTCGATCTGTTTGTTTAGTAAATTGACCGTTTCGCCCCTCATGTCTATGTGTGTGTTGCTGTTGCTCATCTAACTTGTGTTGGAAACTACTTGGACAGTTTGTGGTCTTAACAGCAACACCACAATGCTTATCAGTAGAAAACCAAAAAAAACAAAATGAATGTTAATTGCAAAAAGACGTTATTGCCCCTCATTAAGCCACAGATGAAAAGACCAAACTACCCTTAACAGTAACAAACCTGCATGAGAAGGAGGACTAGAGCCATTAGTATAACAACAAAGGAAGGGTCATGATTCCAAGACTTGAAAGATGCAAACAGCTTTGGAATAGAATCTCTTAAATTCGAAGAAGTCCAAGTCCCAGAAGAACCTCCACTGCTGACCTGGCCTTTCACTTCCTGGGACACTGGAACAGTCTGAGTCATCATTGTCATGTCCCCCTGCTGACCTGGCGTTTCACTACTAGCTGCTGGTGCAGACCCTAATGCCAGAGTACATCTATCTTCTCATCTTTTAGATATCAAATGAAAAGTTTAACAACTATTTCAATATTCAGGACAGAGAATCTGGATGGAGAAGCCTTCATTCTTCAATCTGCACTTGTTTCCAACCTTTATTTCATCTCTCAGGTACCCATATAATTATATTTATATTTGAATTATTTTCTTTATCTGTGTTGCTTATATTATTTGCTTGATTGGCAGTTGCTACACAGAAAATACAGTGGAAATTTCTTGGTTGATCTATTGGGAAAGTGGAAGGAGTCTGAATACTCTGGACAATCTGTCCCTGTTCGTGGCATCGCTTACTATGTCACTGCACCTTCAAGGTAAATCTGATATTATTTATAATTAAGACTAAATTAGAAATATGATCCTTGTGCTTGGTCCAACCATATAAAACGACTTGAAAATTTGGACTAAACTTGCAATTTTTTTTTTGAGTAAAGCACAAAATGAAATACTAACATTTGGAAGTTTTGAAGATTTGGACTGAAGTTGTGATTTTGTGTAAAGCATGTAATTTATTCGTGGTATTGTTTTTGTTAGTTTTGAGTTTTTAGTGGTATAATTAATAAATAATGTGTTGTGTTGTGTTGATGGATCAGTTTGGCAGATATGGCAGCAAACCCATTCCATGCTCTTTTCTACTTGGTGTTCATGCTGACAGCTTGTGCGCTATTCTCAAAAGCTTGGATTGAAGTTTCGGGATCATCTGCTAGAACCTACAGAAGGAGCTGAACAGGTACATTCCAACAGCAGCTGCATTCGGAGGAATGTGCATCGGTGTTTTGACCGTTTTGGCAGATTTCATGGGAGCCATTGGTTCAGGCACTGGGATTTTTCTTGTCGTCACAATCATCTACCAATACTTTGAGTTCATGTTGCTAAGATTTAATTTTGGATCAAACCCAGCAGGTTCTTTTGGCGTAACTCTACTTTGCTTGGGATTTGGACAACCTATCAAAGTTAATTGGGCATATGTCACTGGACAAAAGGAGGACACATCAGGTATAGGACTTAATACCCTTTTTGGAAATAATTTATATACCCATATTCTTTTCTACCTTCTTTCCTCATGACATTATTACTTTCTTCCTTTTCAGGTCATTATAAAATATTTGTTGGTGATCTTAGCCCTGAGGTTACTGAGGCTATGTTGTATGCATGCTTCTCTGTCTATTCTAGTTGTTCGTGAGTACATGTTTCATCTCTCTATACATACATACATATAATTATACATATATCTACATTCATATACACATATATGTACTTTTTTTTGCTTCATTAAAGGGATTTGTTATGCATCTCTTCCAGAATTGTACCCTTACTAATGTTATTAGAAACAAAGTAAGTGAAAAATTACAAATTAATTGACAAATTTCATTCTTTTTGCAGGTGTGTCATTTTTTTTTAATTATTTCATGCAAACTGGTGGTGTGAAATACAATACAACAAATGTTTGTCTCACACAAAAAACAACAAGTGCATTGCCATCAACACAATTCAAATATTTCAAAGTCTGGAAGGTTTAAATATAATAACCAATATTCACATTTTTCTTTTGTATATTATTATAAATTTATTATTAATCACTTATTTTGAAATGGAATAATATAAGTGAGATAAATGGATGCAGGGGAATATTGTGTTGATATTGTGTTGTAACTTTGATTTGTAAGATGAGATGGGGGAATATTTCTTGTCTTAAGGAGTTAGAAGGGGAAAAGAAAACTCAAGCTGAAAGAGATAAGATGCTTCAAATGCAAGTGTTGCATTCTTCATTTGAATTGTTAGTTGTACTATTAATGATGGAAGCTCCTAAATAAAGAAAATGGAAGAAGCCGCATGAAATAGATTTTTTGTATGAAACACAGAGTAGATTAGATGAATGCAAATTTATATATTGTAAGAAATAGAATTGTATGACATTAAATTTTATGTAATGGATTGTATTTTTTGCATATGTTATTTTATTTCTATTATGAGTCATTAAATGCAAATTTAATTTAAAAATTAATAAATATATAAATATATATTTTTTAAACGTTTAAATTTACGATATGCAAAAATGTGTGTCATCTTCATTTATGACATGAGCTTTCTTGACATGGGTTTTAATGATACGCATTGCGTGTCATAAATGCGCGTCGTAAATACGTGTCGTGTATAGACGATGCGCAAAAGCGTGTCGTCTCTCGTTATGACAGGGCCTTCCTTGACGCGCATTTGCGCGTCGTCTGAGCGTTTTACGACACGCATTGCGCGTCATAAAAGGCTGTTTTTCTAGTAGTGTAAATTTTTTATATTTATTTCTTTCATCACCTTCTTTAGTAATTTCCACTCCAACTACCTTATTCTCATCTTTGTTACTTTCTTTTCCACCTTTAACACTTGAATCCTCTATTATTTTGTTTTCATTCTTGTTTTGATCTCCCACTGCCTTCAAATAGCGGTGGTGTACATCCAGATAATACCAATACTCTAAAGAATCAGGACTAACAAAATGGAATACTAGAAAATTTTTCTAAACCTACATTTCAAAATCATAAATGAATGTAAAACAAAACTGTTGAAACATAAAAAAAATCTTATTAAACACAATCATATATGAATAAAAAAAATAATTATAAACTAGTTACCTCTGTCTTTATTTTTATTTGAATCATCTTCTACCCATTTTACAAAATCCGTATCAACTTCACCACATTCACTTTCTACCACACCATCTCCATCCTTCTTTGCTTTATAATTTTCAAATTCACCTTCAGCACAACCTTTAACCAAGCTTTGATCAATTATTTCATTTTCTTTGTTTTTTCTCCAATAAGTTTATTAGCAGTATCATCTGAAGTTCCTTCTTTGTTTTTACCATCATCACCCAAATTTACAATTCCTAAACTATTAAAATCATAAGTGAATCATATATATATATATATATATATATATATATATATATATATATATATATATATATATATATGTTCATGTGTTTCTTACATTTATTGTCTGCTAGAATGTGTCAATTGGAATTTAGTTAAATTAAATAATTATTTAATTAAATAAAGATAGATATTAAATGATTTCCATAATTGTATGTATATTAACTGATATCCATAATTATAATTTTCTTTTTATGGAAATTAATTAAATTCGTAATTAATGTTAGCAATAACATTTTTTCAGAATGAATTCGCATCTAGGTTTTCATGTATGGCTTTATGTTTTGTTTATGGACTCACTCACTTAAAATACAACAAATTTGCATTAATATGAAGAACGATAGTGTATTCTACGAGATTACACTCTCATTTTGTTAGAATATACTCTCATTCTTCTAGAATAAACTCTCATTCTGCAAGAATACACTCTCGTTCTCTATGTTCTAGGCAGCTTTTTTTTATTTTGAGTGAGTGGGTCATGAATAAAAATACGAACTCATACATGAAAACCTAGATATGAATTCATTCTAAAAGAATATTATTGCTGATATTAATTACAAATAGTTTTTTATAAAAATGAATTTTAATTGTGAAAATTATTTAATATACATATAATTATGGAAATCATTTAATATCTATCTTTATTTTATTAAATAATAATTTAATTTTTTACTAAATTTTTATTTGTACATTCTAGCACACAATAGATGCGAGAAACATTTGAACATAGCTCTCTCTCTCTCTCTCTCTATATATATATATATATATATATATATATATATATATATATATATATATTATATATATATATATAAGCAATGCATACATAAATACTTAGCAGTCAAAATGTCATTCATATCAACTTCTTCCGCTTTCTGTTTTATACCACACTCAACCAAATTCTCATTAGCTATAATATTAAAAAACACAAAATTAAAATCATATACGAATAAACTATATACACAAAAAAAATGTTTATATGGATCCAAATTATTAAGAAATTTTTCAGCAGTTGGGTGACACATGAATTGAATAAAGCTTATACTCATTAACATCACCTTCAAAACCATCCCGGCTTTAGCCCCATCACGGTTTTAGCCTAATGAGATCTCCGGCCCCATACCCGGTACCTATTTTTATAGGAAATATGCATCATCGATTGGACAGGTCAACCGGGTTTCCCATCAGATCGTATGAAATTTTCATTATATTTACACCGTTTAAAAAAAATATATAAAAAAAAACAAACCACAAACTTCAAGGATATTTTTACAGTTTTATTTTTCGTTAATTATGTATTTGAATTGCAATAATTTGTTAAGTTCTAATATATAAATTGATATACCTCCCAGATTTGAACGTCGAGTATTCAATAATTTAATAGCATTCACGTTTTTTTTGATCTTTGAGCCTTAATGTCAGAAAGAGCCTTAATGTCATCAATCTCAATACCGATTCTATCAACGTTACATTACTAATGTTGAATTGATAGTTAAAGCATTTTATTTTATTATTTTGTTATACATGGATTAAAGTCGTAGATAAATATAAAAAATTTAGCGATACATTGTTGACTACATGAATATAATTAAAATATGAGTAAATTATATGTATATTCTGTATTTGGTTTTTAATTATTTTTATTCTTTTAGGAGTAAATTACAGAAATGGTCTCGGTGGTTTAGTCGAATTTTTAATTTTGGTCCTTAAGTTTAATATTTTATATTTTACAGGTTATCATGGTTTATGAAAATTGAATTGTAAGCCTTCGTCAATATACAATAACAAAATTACCAATTTTTTTTTCTTTTTCTTTTAACAAATTATTATATTATTATTTATATTTATTATATTATATATATAGAGATATATATATAGATATATAGATATATATATAGATATATATATTACCTTTGCTTTAAAGAATTAATATAGATTATTAATAAAATTATTTTATTTTTTCAAATCATTTATCTAAATTATATAAAATCCATTTATTATTATTATTATTAATATTATTATTATTATTATTATTATTATTATTATTTATTTATTTTTTGCTTTATTTATTTATCTTTGTTTTTGTGGATTAAAAATCTTTTAATATTTTTGACGTTTTATTTAAATATATTTTATAATGTTGTTTTTTTGACGTTGTGTTCATTTAAATTATATAATAATTTTTTTGACATTTTTTTCAAATAAACAAATTAAAACAATAACCTGAATAACTATCAGTCTTCCAATAAAATTATTTAATATTTGTTTTTTTCTCTTTCTTTTAACGATATATATATATATATATATATAATATATATATATATATATATATATATATATATATATATATATAGGATTACTTTGATTTTTTTTTCAAAATAGTAATACGAAAAAATATAATTATTTAGGTAATAAATGAAGAAACACTAACATATAAACGAATGATAAAAACGAAAAACACATCAAACCATAAATTGAATAAAAGAATAAACCTTAACATATAAGTATGGTTGTAAACGAACCAAACGAACATGAACAAGGCTACAAACGAACAAAACAAACGGATGAACAAACGAGCTTTTCTTTTTCGTGTTTGTTCATTTAAAATATTATACTGTTCATGTTCGTTCGTTTATGTTCGTAAACGTACTAAACGAATATAAACGAAGAAAGATAAACAAACACAATTGAACATATATGAACATAAACATACATATAATAAAAAAATTGAACATAAATGAATATAAATAAATTAAACGAACACATATAAATGAACATAAACAAACATCGTAAACGAACGCTCACGGATATAAATGAATGCACGAGACCATTGTTCATGTTCGTTCGTTTAACTAAACGAAGGATAATTTTTTTTCATGCTCATTCATTTATTAAATAAATAAACATAAACGAACTTTCCGCCGAACAGTTCAAGAGCGTTACCAAACTTTCAGTTCGTTTATAGCCTTACATATAAGTGTATGATGTAAACAAAATCACATAAAAAACAACATTATATAATTATATTAGACGAACAAAGCGTTAAAAAAAACAACATCAAAACATATATTTAAATAAAACGTCAAGAATATTAAAAGATTTTTAAACCACAAAAACAAAAATAAATAAATCAAGTAAGAAATAAATAATAATAATAATAGTAATAATAATAATAACAATAATAATAATAATACAAAATTGCAAAAATGGTACTTGTGGTTGTAAAAAATATGAGACTTTGGTCCAAAAAAGTTTG